TTCAACTTTAGGGCGGATAGACACATTATCTTTCAATTTAATTACTATTGCAAGACAGATCATTTGGCGGATGTCTGTACTGTCTGAATGCCTTTCTAGTTACGTTTTTTTTATACCTTACTCAAGAACTCAAGTATCTACTTTACACATTTGGTGTTTCATTAAAACATACAAATCAAAGCAGCAGAACTGAAGAAATCATCTTTTTTTATTCCATACATTAAAACCTGGTGGCTAAATTACCCATAATGCATCTCAACCTCCTACAGTCTGATCTGAGATGGTGATGTATTATCCTTGTAGCAGCTGAAGTACGCTGCAGCAATGATCTCACTTCTTTCCAACCCTTAACTTCATATTTTTTTTAATGTTCAAACTTGTTCCACTCAATGACATCACTCTGCCGTTTATCAGACGTCACACGGCTCCCTCTGGAGACGCTGACGGCACTTTATTACTTTAAAAACACCCTTTGACTTTACACTCACAATAAAGCACATTAGGTTGACTGAAGATACATCTTATATCATTTTAATGTGATTGAATTCACTTCTTGGATATACACGTTAAGCAGCCTCCTCCCACATTTAGCCATATTCCTCTGTTAATAATACTGCAAAACAGGAACCCTCTTTTAATGCTGCACTGTACCCTTTCCAAAAAAAAAATTCTCCGTGGGGCGTTCGCTGACGTGGTCAGAATGCAGGTCTGCTGTGTTTACAGGCTGTTTAGATGAAATGGAGCAGAGCCACAAACGGATGGTAGAGAGAACCGGGCGCAGCAGGGTTTATGGGAAATGTGGTTTCACTTCACTTCAAGGAACACAAAATGCTTTATGCAGCATCTTTTAAAAAAACAACATAGTCTGGACCCGTTTCCTCTGATTGTTCCATCCGGCCTGAAGCTATTAATTGAATGCATTTATCAAATCACATCCCCTGACGCTCTGCTCATAAGTGATCTGCAGGGAGGGATGAAGGGAATCGATGCTGCAGGAAACTGTTGGCTGTAATTTGGCTCAAACTTTTTCTCTCCTTCACTAAATCCCCCTGGCTGGTGATGATGAAGCAGGTCTGCTGTGTGAGGCAGAGCGAGGTTTCAGCTGTAAATGATGGGCTGTGCTGCAGCCGGCGCCTCAGATAGCAGGCGGCCGCGTCCTGAGCTCTTCAGCTTCATCATTTTAATACCAGGCTAATATTAACCTGAAGGGCTCATGTCGCATTTCATCAGAGCGAGAGGAAGGAGCACACAGAGGACTTCAGATTTATATTGCATAATGAAACCTCTCAGTGGATACAGTCTGTATGTACATGCACATTAAGACATACTTAAAGCGAACACTGAAATATGTTCATTCGAAGAAGACAATATTTTAAGCCCTTTGAACTGCTAGTGGAGATTTAGCAATAACCCTAAAGCTGCTATTAAATATCTGATCTATATATTTAAATTATCGTCATTTTGGTCTATAACATGTCATAAAATAGTGAAAAATGTCCCTCCCAGTTTCTTAAAGTCCAAGATGATGTCTTTAAATCCCAAAGAAATACACTTTAATGTATTATAAAATAGAGAAAGTCATGAAATCTCCATAATTTAGAGTCTGAACGTGGCGTTTCCTGACATTTTTGTATTAAAATGCTTTAAAAACTACAAATAGTTGGATTTAATCTTTGCAGCTAGAGTGCTAAATTAACTATTTCTGACTAATTGGCTTCACATTTGCAACCACTCAATAAACATTATGTTTGAAGCTTCTTGATTGACTATAAAAAGTGTGTGTGTGTGTGTGTGTGTGTGTGTGTGTGTGTGTGTGTGTGTGTGTGTGTGTGTGTGTGTGTGTGTGTGTGTGTGTGTGTGTGTGTGTGTGTGTGTGTCATTCCTGTTGAATTATTCTGGAAGTCTTCTGCAGGAAATGCTCGACAGATGGACTCGTTGTTGTTGAAGCTTTCTCTAAAGTCACGCCGGGAATCCAAAGTGTCTCTTCTGCCCGCAGGCTTTCTGTTTGTCTTCAGCTTTTTGTCTTCTTTGTCTTTGGAGTTTGTTCTTACTCTCTGGTGAACACCTCTATACAAGTGTGTGTGTGTCTGTATTAAATGGTGCAGAACTTTGTTGAAAGAGTGTGTGTGTCATGTGATCAGAAGCACCATGAAGAAAGAAAATGAAGCTTTTAAATCTGGTCTTTGATCCACCTCTGTGTGCAGAGTCAGGGTTTAACAGATGACGCCATGAAAGACACACATTTAAAGTGGAGCAGCGTTCAGGTTATTTAGATGTGGTTTGCAGATAAGGGACAAGATCCATACGGACAGATTTTAAAACAAAGTCAACTCTTTAAAGTACCCGTCCTCCATAACATTTAAAAACGTTTCTACTCCAAAGAAGGAGTGGGGGAAAATATTTTTTCCCAAGAAAAAGTCCAGATTATTTGTTTCTATTAATAATACATTGGAAAGTATTAGATAATCTCATTATATAAAATTAATTAATCAACCCATATTTGCTCCATGGACATATTTTTCTTACCATAAGGACAAATAGTGCAACTTGTTTTCTGTTTGGTCTAACGTCTAACAGCACAATCACACTTTCATCAATAGTCAAAGCCAAGATTGATGAGAAACACTTATCGTTTTTTTTTTAACATTTGTGCGGTTTTCATTTGCCCAAAAAAAAGAGTAAGGCTGTGTTTACACGAGAAGGAAACGGGTTGTATCTGCTACTTTTCTCTCGCGTATAGCCCGTTCGTTCACACGAGGCCGTAACGGAACCGCGGAAACTGACCCCGCAAACGATAATGGGTCCCAAGGTGGATATATCTGCAACTAGAACGCTCTGGGGGCCAAACGGCTCCGTGTGTACATCCTATACGATCATTTCCTGATAACGATGAAGCCATAGCCCCACCTCTGCTGCTCACTGCTGTAGCATGCTCAGTAGCTACTGTAGCTACTGACCATGCTACAGATGTTAGTGCAACATCTACAGCTCCTTTAGCACAACCATCAGCAACAAGTGGACATGGAGAATGACATGAACTACATGTTGCTAAATCCACCGCGGGGCATAAACAGAAGGGCAACCATGCTCGGGGGTCTTCTTCTTCGCTGCTTTTGGTGTATTTTGTGGCGGAAGTACAGCGCCACTTACAGGCCCGGCATATATGTACTACAGCGTTTCGAGCGGTCTCGTGCGGAAGTACAGCGCCACTTACAGGCCCGGCATATGTACTACAGCGTCTCCAGTGAACGGACACGTTAAATGAGCCGAATGCGTGTGAACGGAAGACGTTTTTCAAAACGAATTTGGTGCGTAAACGTTCCCGTGTAAATGGGGTCTGAATCCCTTAATATTCTGGCTTTGAGATTCCTGGTTTACTTGGAGTTGAATGAAAACTTAATCTAAAGAAAGTTGGCGTCAAAGTCCCGCCCCTCTGTGGTTGGATTGACAGGTGATTCAAGACTGGGGGTTAATGGTGTAGCCTAAATACACTAACATGTATGAAGGTGTGTTGTCCCTTTTTGTGTGTGTGTGTGTGTGTGTGTGTGTGTGTGTGTGTGTGTGTGTGTGTGTGTGTGTGTGTGTGTGTGTGTGTGTGTGTGTGTGTGTGTGTGTGTGTGTGTGTGTGTGTGTGTGTGTGTGTGT